CCTTTAAGTATATTGGGTTCTATGTGGCATCAAACGGTACACTTGACTCTGAAATAAGCCATAGAAGCCAGTCGGGATGGAGAAATTGGAAAATGCGTCGGGAGTGCTATGCGACAATAAGATCAGCGCAAGGGTGAAAGGAAAGGTCTATAAAACCGTTGTGAGACCTGCGATGATGTACGGAGCGGAAGCCTGGTCCATCAAAAAGGCTCAAGAGAAGAAATTAGAGGTAGCCGAGATGAAAATGTTAAGATGGATGTGTGGAGTGACGAGGCTTGATAGGATTAGAAACGAGAGGATTCGAGGAGCAACTAAAGTGGTGGAAATATCGAAGAAAGTTCAGGAGAGAAGATTGCAGTGGTATGGGCACGTGATAAGGAGGGAAGATGATTATATAGGCAAGAGGGTTTTGGATATGGAGGTGGAGGGGAGAAAGAAGAGAGGAAGACCAAGGAGAAGATGGAAGGATTGCGTGGATGGAGATATTGGAGAGAAAGGCCTTGTTGGGGACGAATATGAAGACCGAGGAGAGTGGAAACGTGCTGTCAAAAATAGCGACCCCGTATAGATACGGGAAAAGCTACAGAAGAAGAAGAATTTTACGCTTAATTTCGTACATTTTCGAGGGGTGGTGGATAAAATAGGGATGATGACATGCTAAGACAAAATGTGTCACGTGTGTCACACTAGTGGAAATTTTTTTAAATATTTCCTTGTAGAATTAAGAATTTAAAATTCATATACTATTAAAATATCGATTATTAGCTAAGATTTTATGCTATTCTAACTGGTATAACATAAACAAAAATAGTTTAATAAAATTTTGAATGTAAGACTCTAAAACCTTGTGTCATGCGCAGTAAAGAGTACCCGGGGAGAGAGGGTTAAAACACTTTGTAATAATAATGACTCCTCAAAATGTTGGAAATATTTATCAACTTCATTTCATTGAATGGTGGTACTTTAACGTATCGATTAACTTCAAAGACGTCATTTTGCCTTGGTCGATCGGAGTTGAGTCTAATTTCCACTTCTTTCAGCTTTATTTTTTGGCTTCAATGCGAGCTTTTCCGGCTTCGAGACGTATATTTTCTCTTTCAACTTCGATACGAGCTTGCTCTTTCTCCTTCTCGACTTTGATACGAGCTTGTTCGAGCTTGAGTTGTTTGAGTTTTAGCTGAATCTCTAATCTATCTTTATCACTCAGCCCAGTTTGCCTAGTAGGCAACAAATCATCATCGACTAATATTTCGACATGAGCCCCCAATTTATATCAGACAATATCAGATATATCAATTTATTACGTAACGTATTATAACTTGGAACAGCCTGAAACTGAGTTAAATGATAATTTAGATTTAGAAATTAAATAAATGTCGAATGTATCCAATCTTGTCTTCAAGATTGATACACACAGTTTTTTTAAATACAAAGATATTTTAACATGCAAACAATAACGCAATTTACAATAACAGTTATTACAAATAATGATCTATCTACAAAGGTGTTACAAATTTACAAACAATATTTAGCCCTCTATCTGGTCTGGAACTTCCTTGATATCTTATCGAGGGTTCACAATGAGCGAATTAATTTTGAATAGATGAAGTTATATAATGTTTTCGTAAAAATAGTAATGTCTGATGTGAATCCATTGAAGTTAAATGGTTTGTAATATTAGAAATTTATAAATGTTCCTGGTCAAATATCTGAAGTTCCCGATTAATAAGCCTATAACAATCACGGCTATAGCTTCCGCAGTTTACAGCTCAACAATTATAGCAAACCTGATTGACTTTTGGCGCGCCGCGTTGGTTATATTTAGAGGCGTAAGGAGAGTTTCTCGAAATTTCAGCTTACACGACAATATAAACGATACACCAGGCTTTGCGTACACACATATATTGTTGATTCTTACACTCGAGAATTTTCTACAATTTTAGAGAGTATGCGGGAATTTCGCAAGACAGATTTAACAGTGTAAGTTATGTACATTTCTAAATCTAAGCCTAATTTAAACAAACATCGATATTAAAACAGATATATGATAATATATCCGTCACACATGTTACAGTTTCTCTACATCAGACGTAATCAAGAAGAAGAAATATACTCATATTCAGCAAAGACAACGTAATGTTATTACAGAAAGTATAATAAAACCAAATAATGAACACATGTGTCTTACCTTTCAACACTCATAGCTGTTAGTGTTAGCACAGAACAAATAGACGAAACGTTTTGAATGTAGTATACGAATTTACAGCAAAATTCTCCGAACGTCCAGGAATAGGAAAACAATTTAGCATACTGTAAAAATAAATATTATAATAAAACTTAGCTACTTTATTAGAAGTTAGACAAAAATTATACTTCATTCAGTATTTATACCATTTCCAGAAAAGTTTTCTATTATATGATATAGTTCAGTAATACAAACATACTGTTATTTTTCTCATCTTTTACGCCCTCTTTATGTTAAAAAGATGCATTTCAGATAGTGTTCATAATTACAATAGTCATCGAAAAAGAATGCTCTTACAACATAAGAAAAAAACTCTCTCGAAATATATGATGATTTAGTTGTCAAAACATATTTTTCAAAACACTCATTATTACGAATGATAGAAAACTAAATTAGAGACAGAAAGCAACCAAGTAAGATTAAATATTATATCTTAAATGTATTAGATGCTGCTCGAATATTCAGGCTATTTTATTAATTCTAGAGCTTAACTGCACTTCGTATCGTTTGCTTTAGTGATGATGTTTTCTGTTCGATTATTTAAGCTCAAAGCTGCACAATGGGCTATTTGCGCTGTGCCCATCACCATCTTGCTAAGCCACTGAGGACTTCATGATGCTATAAATATGAAAATGAGCGTTTAACATGAGTGGTGGTTTACATGTTTCCAAAGGTACTATTTCTTAAAATACAGAATTGCAAGAGCTGGTCATACACGGTAGACTTTGGAAAAACAGCTAAATTATATATATTAAATTTCTTTAGGAGAATAACGTCAGTGTCAGCTTTTGGGGTGTAATATTTGCGTGGTCAAAGGAATATGTATTTTATGAACTAGTTGTGTAAGTGTAGAAGGTGATGCTATAGCTGACCCTGAATAGTATTTAGCGAGAGTTACAGAACACTTTCTCTAATGAATGTTCTATTAAACTATGTTCACTAAAGGAACGTGTATTTTATGAACTAGTTGTGTAAGGGTAGAAGGTGATGCTATAGCTGACCCTGAATAGTATATAGCAAGAGTTACAGAACACTTTCTCTAATGAATGTTCTATTAAACTATGTTCACTAAAGGAATGTGTATTTTATGAACTAGTTGTGTAAGTGTAGAAGATGATGCTACAGCTGACCCTGAATAGTATGTAGCGAGAGTTACAGAACACTTTCTCTAATGAATGTTGTATTAAACTAAATTATGTTCACCTGCAGCCAAGGAACATTAGACGTTTTTGTTGAAGTGATATTTTGTATATGAGTTATGCTCTTAGCAAACCCTTGTTCCCGTGCATTTGAAAGCAATTATCGTTTAAAGTCATGAGTGGTCTAAAAAACATTTTTCTAGAATTAGCCTATTAGTCATAAAGCTAAAGATGTCTACGGGCGAATAACATCAAATAAATCCATTGTTCCAAAACGACAAAATTGCTTCTTCATTGGAATTAAATAGGTTTAGAAAGTAATTTTCCCTTTATTTAATATAAAAGAGTTGATGGCAGTTTATTTAGATAAATACCTTTTAGTTCTTTCCTTTTCATCGCGACATAGCTGAGAAAAATATTGATAGAAATATCACTGAGCTAATTTGTACCATGATTTCATATTGGCCTTTAAAATGTTACCGTTCTAATTTTTAAAACATAGATAAACCTGAGTGTCGGCAGTTTCCTCTATAACTAAAACATAAAGAGATCGCCTGAAAATTTCAGTGTTAACAGTTTCAACTATAATTATAACATGACATAATATTTTGAAAACCTGAGAATCAGTAGTTTCCTCTGTAATTAAAGCAAAAAGAGATCGCCTGAAAACCTCAGTGTTATCAGTTTCAGCTATAATTATAACATGACATAATATTTTGAAAACCTGAGTGTCAGCAGTTTTCTCTGCAATTAAAACATAAAAATACCTTTTGATTCTGAAAGATAAACGTCCTGTCTAACATTACGGTAGAAGTCAACATCTGAATAAATCTTGGAAAGACGTGCTGGTGAATAATCGAAAATCTGGCTCACCTCCTTCATTAAGAATTGTGAGTTTGTTAACTGTTGACTTATAATTACTTTGAACGAAATTTTTCGATGGCTTAGAAAAACAATAACATTCTAAGCCAAAACAAGTAATAACGTTTTATCAGGCCAATGTGTAGTTCAGTTGTCACTATCATAAAACTGTTTATGAGTTGTACGTTTAGAGTAACAATATAAATGCTTTGTTTATATCAGCTAACAGTTCAATTAATAATATAATAATTATGAAAAAAACAGTGACCTAAAAATTAGAGATGGCTAACGCCGATAGCTCTCTCTTTTCAGTAGCTTTGCGCATAGTTCAAAGCAATGCAATGACGGTTACTGTTGTTAACTCCATGTATAACTAATTGTTATGTCATCATTATATATTTCTATAACCAGGGGTGCCATTAAAATATGAGCACCAAACCCACATTTAGACTTCAATTTACGATATTACGAAGCAAAAATATTACCCATTCTTTCATCAAAAAGCAAAGAGCACACAGTGACCAAATATTAAATAACAGCACAATGAATCTTGTATAACATTGAAGCGTTAAGTTTTTGAAAATTTGTTAGAGAAAATTACAAATAGAAGTAATTTTTACTTTCAAAACCCAATAGTCTCCTTCTTTACTAGAAGTCATTTTTACTTTTAAAAACCCAATAGTCTCCTTCTTTACTAGAAGTCATTTTTACTTTTAAAAACCCAATAGTCTCCTTTACTAGAAGTCATTTTTACTTTTAAAAACCCAATAGTCTCCTTCTTTACTAGAAGTCATTTTTACTTTTAAAAAACCCAATAGTCTCCTTCTTTACTAGAAGTCATTTTTACTTTTAAAAACCCAATAGTCTCCTTCTTTACTAGAAGTCATTTTTACTTTTAAAAACCCAATAATCTCCTTCTTTACCTCAGAATAGCAACAAAAAT